CGCGCTGCGCCTGTCGCGGGAGGAAGCAGGGTCACCGACGGCGGAGAGGCCATTGCTAGGGGGGGTGCCTGCCCGAGTGGGGCACAGACCAAGCCTGCCTGGACACCTCGAGTGCCGAGGGCTCGGGCCCGAGCTGGTGAGGGTGCCGGAAGGGAGGGGCGTGCAGCCTTAGCCGAAGCCTGCTCGGCGCGGGCCGCACTTGGCGCGCGTCCCAGGCTCCTCCGGGAGGCCACTTTCGCTTGTGCGTGGAGTGAATTCCAGAGCTGTCGTCTAATCCCGTGCATTGGCTACTTTTTTGGACTTCTGAGGGCTGGGCAGCGCGGTGGGACTAAAACAGATCGGTTTTTGCCCCTTCAGTTGCCTTCCTGGTAAGAGCGCGAGGAAAGAGGGCCCAGCAGGTGGCGCTCCGCCCTCGTGGTTGTTGACAGGGACCCTTCGGTTCCAGCGCGGCCGGGAAGTGTTTCACTTGCACCTCCAGGCTCCATCGGGCCTCCACTCCCTCTAGCTGGCTCACCCGTGGCTGGCAACGGTGGTCCAGCCCACCTTCCACTGTCTGGGCTCCTGGGTGCTCAATGGGTGACCTCAAGTGTGTCTCTTGGGCCCTCCCTGCTTGTCATCCTTCCTCCTTAGGAGGTCCCACAGGTAGGTCTGGCTCTGCAGCCTCCCTGGAGACCCAGCAGCCAGCATCCTTCCAAAAGTCCTGCTGCTCCCCTCAAACTCACACAACGCCCACTTTCCCACCGAGGGAAACCAAGCAGGCCCTTGGCCTCTCTCCAGCTATGCCACTGTATAAGTCACCTCCAAAAGGACAATGCACTTTGGTGCCATGGGCACAGCAGGACAGAGCTGGTGCAAGCTAAGCAGAACTGGGGGCAGACCTTCAGAGGGGCCAGCCACCCTCACTAGCAGGTGCTTCCTCCTAGGGAATACTCACCTCTCCTCTTCCCTCATTCTCCCTGGAGCCCCAGAAAGGAGAGATAACTGGGGCGGCCCTTCCTTACTAGTCCCCCACTGAGAGAAGTCCCAACCTCCTATCCAAAAACACCGTCCCTGGTCACAGCACCCAGGAAGCCGTGGCTGGCTGGCACTGAGCCCTCCCTCCCCCTAGGAGCTGGTGAACAGACTGCTGCACCTGCACTTCAGGGATGACAAAACCAAAGGTGCGGGTGCTAGCAGAGGGGCGGGAGGCGAGGACTGAAGTGTGCAACCATCCTAATCTGTTCTCCCCCTGCAGTCAGTGGGGACGCCCTGCAGCTTATGGCGGAGCTCCTGAGGATCTTCGTCGTGGGTGAGCCCAGGGATAGCAACCACCAGAGCACTTGCGATTGCTAGCTTTTCTGTGGGAAAACTAAATTTTTCCCAGTTTCCCATGAGTACCTGAGCTTAGTGTTCTGAGAAGCTGTTTTTAGCGGGTGAGGTGGAGCTAGAGCTCAAGCCCCTAATTCCCTCTACCTCACTTCTCTGTGTCACATCAGAAGCAGCTATCCGTGGGGTGCGGCAGGCCCAGGCAGAAGACATGGCCCTGGTGGACGTGGACCAGCTGGAGAAGGTGCTTCCTCAGCTGGTATGTACATGTGGTGTGCAGGCCTGGCGGCTGCAGTGTCCTAAAGAGCACCAGGCCACTCACTCTGAGTACCCCTTTCCCTTGCAGCTCCTGGACTTCTAAGGTACCCATCTCCCCCAGGAAGCCAGTACTCCCCTGCAAGCTGCTGAGCCTCCTGTGGCCCGAAGGGTCTGGGCTAGATCCATACCAGCGTTGATACCTGGTCCCAGTACTGTCCGTTAGCCTCTGAAGGATGACAAGATCCTGGCAGCTGCTGCCTTCCTAGCATCCTGCTTGTGGCTCATGGGCCCCTGGGAATGGTCCTGTGGGTCCTAGGGAAGGCAGGTGCAGCGGGGAGGAGGGCTGGTCTGTCTCCGCGCTGCAGCCGCCCTAGATAGCCCATGTGTTCTACAACCCAACCAGCTGCCTTGCCACATCAAAGCTGGTGTGTAGTTTGTTAGCCACCCGATATTCCCTGAGCTATAAACTTTGTCTTCACAAAGCAACACCAATAAATTAACACCTGTCTTGTAGGCTTGGCCTTCTTGTTGATGTTAATCAACTCAAGTCAGCTCGCTTTAAAGCCTACCCTGCTCCCTCCCATCTACAGTATTGCAGTAGGGCACAGGCAGAATCCTGCAGAGGGCAGATAACAAGGCACTGTGGCCCACTACCTGCTGAGGAAACCAGAGCCCTCATACACGGCTGGGTTGCCTAGGAAATGTCACTCCTGCCTTGGGCTGCAGTGGGTTAAGGCTAGGACCAGGACACAGTGAAAGTGTGAGGGACCTGGGAATCAGCTGCTGAACCCTATGCCTGCCCAGAGGCTGTGCTGAAATAAGGAACCTGCCTTCCCTCCCAGCCCAACTGCAGGTCACTCTCTGACCTGGGAACTCCTCCCAAGCTCAGGTGCTGGCCAGCCAGCTCTGCTCATGGCACTCTAAGGGATGTTGGATCCCAGCACCCTGCTGAGTGACCTAGACCCACCTTCCTGGAGCTTCCCAAGCTCCCAGGGCAGGGGTGTTTAGCTCTGAGGTCAGAGCTCGGGCTCTAGGAGCCATAATTTCTTGGTGGTTTCCCCCTCCCCTTCTGGAAGGGTATACAGTCAGGCCCCAGAACAGATAATAGCAGCCCCTTAGGGGTTTAGTGAACCATAAGACCTTAAATTATCCTGAAGTTGCAGATTAGTTTGCCAGGGAGACCCTTCCTTCCATACTTTCATCCTGATAGAAGGGGAACTGATGAGATAACCTAGAAGCAGCAGCCAGTAAGTCCAGGGCTCTGCCTGCCAGGCCTTTTGAAAGTACCTGGACCTATTAACAGTAACACAGGCCATACTGCAGGCTAGCCAGACTCCCCAGGACTGTCCGGGCAGCCATGCATGAGCAGGTGGGCCAAGGCCTAGGGGCTTTTTCTGCAGAAAGAATGATGGGAAGGAAGACCTTGAGCATGTCTTTATTCCTGCTCAGGGAAGGGGTGGGGTCCTGCACCTGGCAGACAGGCACCTCTTGGCCGGCAGCTTTCACCTCTTGCTGGCTGGAACACAAACACACCAGGGTGACTGTGGGTCCTGGTTCCCACCAGCCGCCCTGCCCCACCCAGCCAACCCATGGTAAACACCTGGCAGCTTCAGCCATTTGGGCACCTTGTCCAAACTCCTCTTCACAGGCTGGCCAGACCCTGAGATGGTGTCAGGGGCAACCACTGATCCCTCCTCAGCAGCTGGCTCAGACTCGAGGGGCACAGGGTCAGGGTCTAGCTGTGGTGCTGGGGACCTGGCAGTCCTGGACATGCACCTGGGGGACAGACCCAGGTGAGGATGGCAGGCACTCCCTGGGGGGCATCCCCTCCCACCCTGAGCACTCACCTAGCCACCAGCATGTCAGCTGCTGACGGGGAGATGGTGCGTGCCAGCAGCCCAGGCTCTAGGTAGACACCTGCAAAGGTTCAGCCCACTCAGCATGTGGTGCCCCAGGGAGCAGATGTGGAGCTGCACACGCCCCCCAGGCTCACATGAGGTCCCCCAGCCCAGGGCACCAGATGTGCTGGGGTGCAGGGCACAGGGATGGCTGGTGGGGTCCAAAGAGCAGAGCCCCTCACCTGCTGGTTCCGGTGCTCCAAAGTACACAAGGGCTGCAGGGAAAAGATTCGCCTGTAGGGAGGCAGTGGGGGCTCAGTGGGCAGCAGGCAGGCAGAGGTTCCATGGGGCTCTGTGGGGTCCTGACCAGGGCTCTTCCCTCAGTCCACCCAGCATGGACCACAGGGCCCTCACCCACAGGTCAGCCCCTACTGCCAGCTGGGAGCCGCACTTCTCATCTGTATGAATGAATTCCTGCCCTGCATTTCTCTTCACCTTCCTCTCTGCCTCCTGCCCAACATTAACTTTCCTGAGGTCAGGGCTGGGCATGGTGGTGCACGCCTGTAGTCCCAGCACCTAGAAGGCTGAGGCAGGATTGCTGTGAGTTTGAGGCCAGCCTGGACTACATAAAAAGCAAAACTTTTGGGAGGTCAGTCTCAAAGCTCATATCAACTCTGGCACATCCTGCACAACAGGAAAGGTCTGAGGAGACAGGCATGGGTGGATGGGGTCAGGGATGGAGGGCACTGGGGGAAGGGCAGCCTGCTGCTGTCCAGGAATGAGATGGAGGCCTACGCCTCCCCCACTGACCACCGCCCCAAACACTGGGGGTCTGTGAGTGTTGGACCTGCTGGGAGACAGGAGCTCCCTGGAGGGCAGACCAGCCTCGATGACAAGAGGTACTGGCTCCCAGAGCCAACCTCCTTGGGTCCCAGGGTGAGATGTGCTTGGAGAAAGCACCAGCTAGGCCACAGCTGTCACTGCGGGGCTGGGTGGGGCAAGGCAGAGAAGGGCCAGTTACCAACTCTTCACTCACCAGAACCAGGCAAGGAACACTGAAAACCCAAGTGTGAGGCCTGGTGGCAGCTTCCTCTGCCATGGGGGGACAGCACTTTGGGGGCTAGGCTTGGGCACTGAGCACCCCCCCAGTGGCTCAACTGGGATGCCACATCAGGGTGAGCCCCTCCAGTGTCATGGTGTCACATCCTCTCCTTATCCCAAGGGAGGTAGGGTGGGTGTGGTAGGCCTTGGCCACGTGGCCAAATTCAAGACCACTGGGGATGGCCGCTAGCTCCTGGAAGGGGCCGCAGCTGCCGGCTGAGGGTGGAAAGCTGTTCAGCCCCAAGCTGCTGGGAGTGCCTCGGGCTGTGGGGTGGGGGCTGGGGTGGGGATGTTAAAAGATTAATAAGAGCAAGCTTCAAAGGCCAGCCTAGGAACGCTGAAACCTCAGCTCCAGCCCACAGCGAGGGACACAAACAAGGGCGGTGAATGCTTTGAAACCCAACTGTGAAGCCTGCATCAAAGCTCCTAAGCAGGGGTCTGGGGGGAGGCTGCCCTAGAGCCTCTGGAGAGCACTGGAAGCCCAGGAGTTAGGAAAAGGGCACGGTATGAGTCTCACCAAAGGCCCCATCTCTGTGTTCCAAATGTGTGTCCCCACTGCAGAGAACCCGACCAGGTTCACAGCTGTGGCCCCCACTCTTCTCAGCTCTCCTGGGGAGCCTCGCTGGCCTTGCCCTGCGCTCCACCCGTTCCCCATGTACTGCTGGCCACAGGGTGTCTCCCTCAGAAGCTGCTTAAGGAGAGGGCACAGCAGTGCTGGCATCACTACAACCCCCTCCCACGGGACCCCTTGTCTGGCACTGTCTGAGAGGAGGCAGAGAGGAGTAGGAGAGGGAAGAGCTCTGCCCACTGCTAGGCAGGGGCACTTGGCCAGTAGCTCGTTCCATCCCCACGTGCCTGTGCTTAGCCTCCAAGGGACAGTTCACACTGATGAGGGCACAGAGGCGGCACAGGCAGCCAATTTCCTGGGAGGTGAGGCCTCCAGATGGGCTCCCAAAATAAGCCTACCCAAGTCCCACTACACTTTCCTCTCCCACCTGTGGAAACCCCAGCCAGGTCCTGGGGACAGTGCAGCACCCACCCCATGCAGGATACTCAGGAACTCCCACACCTTGGTTCACACCCCTAAGAGCCACACTGCCCTGCAGGACAGGTGCACTCCTGGGTGGAGCGGGGACCAAGGTGTGGTAAGATGTGCTCAGGGGAGGCACTAAGCTGGGGCTAGGGCCAAAGTGATGCCTTTTCCTCTAACAAGGCAGAGCAGCTGTAGATTCTATGGGTGGGAGACACCAAGGTCCCCTGAAGAGGGGGCTCATTGTCCCTCACAACCTGAGGCCCCATGCAGAAGCCTGGTCTCTGTATCTAGTCTGGGGACAGGCCAGGACACTGGCATTGTCCAGACCTCCCAGTAAGAGGGGGGCCCACCTAGGGGCACAGGGCTTGAGGCCTTGGGGAAGGACCCTCCCTCACGGCAGAGCCCTACAGGCCCCTCCTGAACCAGGCCTTCCCTCAGGCTTGGGACTCTGGTGTCCCCATCAAATAAAAGGGACAAAAAGAAGAACACCCTAGCCACCAGAAAGGGGTTCCACGCCTGCTTTCAAAGTTCAGCAGACCACTCAAAATTCCTACCTGCTAACCCCAGTCACTCAGAAGGGTGTGGGGAGACAAACTTTATCTCATGGCCTTGACCTCAGGGACAGTGCGGGGAGGGGCGCACAGACAGAGGACAGAGGTTGCAGTCCCCAGAACACACTGAGAGCGAGAGAGATGAGCCCTCTCCACGCTGCAGGCGTGCCTCAGGCCCCTGTGGCTGGCTCAACTTCCTGCAGGGTGGAAGAGTCCCTGAGTGAGGTGGTAGGTGCCGCTGGGATGGGCAAGGCTAGGACCCCAGCACTCTGGGAAAGGAAGGTTTAGAGCACAGAGTTGGGCATCTGTTCTGCGTTCCTCTGGTCATGTCCTCACTCCTGACTGCCCCCATCCCTCCCAAGTACCACTGCTCTCTTTGCCCAGTGAGACCCACACATCCCCCACAATGCCATTCCCGGAGCAGGCTGGACCTGGACACCACTGGGTGACAGGCAGCCAGAGCATAGCCCTGACAGACATGAAAGCTCGGCCTGCCAGCCCACTGCCGCTGCCGGGGAGGGGGGCAGGCTTCCTTCCTCTGCCCTGCCAGCTCAGATGGCAGCAGGCTCCAGGCTGAGCTGACAGATGAAAGGAGACGGCTGCTGGGGGCAGGGGCAGAGTGTCACTAGAAATCAAGGCTGGCTGGACAAGGCACCCCAGGGCTCTGCGGGGCCTCCTAGCTGGGGGCAGGGGCCTGGCCCTACATCCCGAATCATCTTCCAAACTCAGTGTTTATCAACAGGCTAGCCAGTGGGGAAGGCAGAAGTGAAGATGGAGCAGAGTCCTGGCGCCTGGTGGCGGGGGGGTCACAGGCTGGCCTCACCCTCAACCCACCCCTCTCCCCACTGTCCCTGGTGAGATTCCAGCTGATCCTCTGCTGCCCGCCTGCTTCAGGCCCCATCTCACCCCAACAAGGGTGGCTCCAGGCAGCAGACTGTTACCCTCAGCCCAGACCTCTACAGAGGCCTTTGGCCGCCTCTGTTGTTAATTAAAATATCTGAAGCAACTTTGAAGAGGAAACCATTAGGCCTGAGGGGAGGGGAGGTCTCAGCTGCTAGGGGTGAGGGGGAGAAGAGGACAGGACATTCAACCCTCCTGGCTCTGGAAGGGGCTGGAGGGACATGGGATCAGACCTCTCAGGACCTCTAGGGCCCTCCAGGGCAGGAGAGAGTGAGCCAACAGGCATCTCCAGCATAGGCTAGGGTTTCCAGAGGAAAGGCTGGGCCCAGATATGGGTATAGGAAGCAGCAACCCCCAGCCCAGGGCCAGCGCTCCCAGGCAGCCACCTCGAGAGCACCAACCCTTCCGGGGCTCCCAACAGCCCTCTGCCAGGTCTGCCTATGCCCCTTCCTCATCCAGAAGCTGGGCAGGGGCTGGTGTTACTCAGAAGCCCAAAGCCAGGACCTCTCAGCAGCCCCAGCTCAGGACTGAGGCCAGCTAGTAAGGCAGGCCCATCCCCGCCTGGGGCCAGGCAGGAAGCGGAGGAGGCTGGAAAGCCCTGTCAGAAACAACTTCAGAGGCTGCTGCTCCCTCTGAATTCACCGGCTCTCAAAGGCTTTATTACCCGCTGGCTGTGCCTGCCAGGGTGGGTGCTCCTTCCCAACCGCAGGCCTCGCCCTAGATGGCGCCCTGCCCTCCCAATGTGCCCCCGCCCCAGTGGCACCCCCAGTGAGGCCCTGGGTACCTGAAAGAGGGTCAGCGTCGGGTCATCCAGGACCGTTTTGGGAGGAGTGATGACTGCAGGGGTGGGGAGAAGGTGCATCTGTCAGGAAGTGGGTTGCCCTGCACGCCCCCAGGGACAATGGGTCTCAGGGCCTCAGGGCCTCTCAAGAGTCCCACAGCTCTCAGCCCTAGCCCTCTCTCCACTGCTACAGAAGCTTGGTGGGGGGCTCAGAAGGGGCCTTCACCACCCAGGTGCCCTCTATAGGCCGAGGGCCCTTCTCTGCAGCTTGAGCTGGGGAGAGGCAAGGCTAAGGAGCAGGACTCAGAAATGGGGCAGCATCCCATCTCTGGCTCTTCCCAGGTCCAGTGTGACACTGATAAGGGCCTGGGGGCGGGCAGCTGGAGCAAATGATGCATTTCTATAGAAAGACCACTGGGAGGGAGGCAGTCCTGAGCCCCCACCCTCAAGCCAGGACCAGGGACAGGGGAGATCAGGACACAACTGAGGCAGGCTCAGGAGGGACTCACACAGGTAGAAGGGCAGCTCAGGATTCCCCAGATGGCCCCGCACAAAGTCTCGCAAGTCCCCCACTGCAGAGAGAGCAGAAGTCTTCACAGTACAGGCCCAAGCCACTTGCTTCCAGCCAGCCTTCCCACCCCCACCACCTACGGGCCCATTGGCCTAGGCACCACAAAGGCAGCCCCTGGGGACACCAACCTCAAGCTTAGCACCCACCATCTCAGCAGAAGCTAAATCCCAGAGGTGGGAATTTGACTCCCACAACCTCCCAAATGCTGTGCAGGCTGCTGCCCGGACCCCCACCCAGGAGAGGCCTGGCTCCTCCTAGCCCGGGGGCCTATCGTGGCCCAGAGCACCCCTAGTCTCTCCCTCACCCATCATCACAGTGAGACTGTCCCACCCAGCTGTCTCTGGACAGGTCCCAGAGCCCCACCCTGGACTGGAGACTTCACTACATCTGTCCTCTGGGTGCTCCCACCCACTTGTGCCGAAAAGAGGCAGGTGCACAGAGCACCAAGACCACGCTCCCTGGGGTGGAACGGAGGCCCTGTGGTAGAAATCCTGTCCACACCTGGCCCCATCTAACACTACAGCCCAGGACCCTCTGAATACCCCTCAAAGAGGAGAGAAGCCTGCAACTGCCTACTCTCCCTGGAGCCTGAAGAGCAAATGGCCAGGGAACCCAGAAGGGTCCAGCTGGCCTCCTACCTCACCCCACCCACACTACAGGGCTGCTTACCTGTCTCACTGGGGCGGAAAAAGCCCTGCAGCACGTATCGGTCAGGAAACAGGACCCTCAGAGCCACCTAAGTTGGGACAAGCAAAGTGGTCAGCAGGTACTGCCTAGGCCGAGCCTAGCACAGGGAGGGACCACACCACACAGCCCCACTCCCGGCCTGGCCACGCCCTCATGCTCCATCAGAGCCCATCTGTACACATGTAAGTCCGCTCTGAGACTCGCTGTAGGACTGGGGTGTAGCTCAGTGATGGAATACTTGCCTAGCACAGAAGAGGCCCCAGGTTTGAGTCCCAGTAGTACAAAAACATTTTTTTTCCTATCACATGTGTCAAAAGGATTAGCTGGTTAACGAGGAACCTGGCTGCACAGACACCTGAGAGTGGTCAGTGGTGCCAGCTGCTCAGTGTGGTCACACGGTGCAGTGTGCTCCCACATGGGATACCGGAGCCCCCAGCTCCCCTACCTTTGGGTAGCGCTGCAGCTTCTCCTTCATCTGAGCTTCCCTGAAGGCCTGGGTCACCAGAGGCGCTTCCTCCAGGCGCTTCCTACGGTGGATGTAAAGGGTCAGGTCTCCGCCAGGTTCCCACAGAAGGGGACCAGGAGGTGCTGCTGAGGGCACAGGTGTTGGTGACCTGGGCAAGGGCCCATGTGGGGGATGGGCAAAGTGTGGCGGGAAGCACCCACCGCTCACTCCTGAGCTGGGCCAGGCGTCTCCTCACGTCATCCACAGTCACCTCAAAGAACTCGTCGGGCAGCTCTGCTGGCCAGGCCTCCAGCAGGTCCTCCAGGTCAGGGTGGCACACCACAGGAACTCGGTCCACAGGCTGGGGGCAGAAGGTCTCAGCTGACCTGGGCTTCCTGGGGGCTTCAGTCTTGGCATGCAGGCTGATCCTAACCAATGCCTCCCCAGGCCACCTGCCTAGACAGGGCGAAGGCAGGACCCCCCAGCTCACCCTGTCCAGAGCTGGACCTGGCCCATTCAGCGTTTAAAATGGAGACCCACCCTCACCAGCAAGGGCCAAGACTCGAAGGTCTGGCTCAGGCCAGGATGGGCACTGGCACTGCTCGGGGGAACTCGGGGAGTGGGTGCATGTCAATTTGGGCAGCTCCCCTGCGTATTTCTCTGCCTAAATGGGGAACCCCAAAATCAAGGAACTGACTTGGGGAACAGCATTCCAGTTTCAGGCCACGTCAGGGCTCCACAAAGGGGAGGGGCAGCAACAGCCACCAAATTAGAGTGTTGGCAAAAACCCCAGCCATCTGCCCCCACTGCCCTCTCAGCCACAGCCCACGGCCGCGCTGACTCCATCTCTTCCTCCCATGGGGAGCAAGCTGGCTCTCCTGCTCACCCTGGAGACAGAGGAAGGGACAGCGCCACTCCTAATTGGCATCAATGGTAGTGAAAATTACAAGGCAGGCCCGCAGTGTGTGTAGTGTCCGGGAGGGTGGGACAGCGCCTCGGTGCTGAGGCTGCTCAGTGGAGCCAGCCTGACTGAGGTGCGGAGCTGGTCCTGTCCTGCTCACAGAGAGCAGAAGGGAGGGTGCCCGGGCATGCAGCCCAGGACCCAGGCTCAGTTCCCTCTCTGCCCCTCAGCGCCCCTTTCAGCCCCCCACAGTCTGGGAATCCCACATCCACACAATCTCAGCCTGAGGCACGCCCATTTCAGGTACTTCCAGGGCCACTCCAGCGACTGTCCCTGAAAGCCTGGCACACGGTCATGCACGTCTCACCTCCTGTGGCTCCAGTCAGGGAGCCCTCTGACTTCAAGCATGGTCCTGGCAGAAGGGCCAGGAAGGCCTGGTGGAGGTTCTGGCAAGGGCCCACAGGTGGCTGACCCAAAGCCCTGCGGGGGGGTGCCCTTTCCAAGCCACAACCACACGACACGGCAGCTGCCACTGCAGCAGTCTGTACTGAGGCCCTTCATAACAAGCTACCAGGCGCCAGGCTGCCCCATGCCACAGCGCCTGCATTCCAGCAGGGCCACAGGCTTGCCTGGACTCCCAAGGGAGAGTGGGCAGACTGGACACACCCTGAACCAGGAGCTGCCGTGTCCACAGGGGGCCAGCCCAGGCTGCGAGTCGGGGTGGAGTGGAGGCCAGGCTGGGATCCTGATATAGGCGCAACCTATGGCCACTGGCCCTCAAAGCCCTGAGGCTATGTGTGGTGCTGCTCACCTGTAATCCCAGTGCTCAGGAGGCTGAGGAAGGAGGATTGCTGTTGAGTTCAAGGCCAGCCTGGGTTACATAGTGAGTTTAAGACCAGCCTGAACTACATAGTGATACCCTGTCTCAAAAAAAATACAACAAAATGGCCAGGGATTTAGTTCAGTGCCTTGCAAGTACAAGCTCCTGAGTTCAATCCCCAGTACCAAAAACCAAAACAAAACAAAAAGCCTAAACTAAACACCAAAAAACTCTGAGCAAAAGAGCAGTCTCTCCGGTGGCTAGTTCCAGACCCTCCTCTGGAAGAGCTGGCCCTGGGCACGTAAGCGTCTATACTAAGTCCCAGTGGGCAGGTGGCATGCAGTGGACAGCATCATGCTGTGCCTGACCACCCTGACAGGGCCCCACACAGACTTAGGACAGTTTACAAAGCTAATCCTCAGGAGCATATGGTCACCTAGGCTCTCCTACAACTTCCTGGGCACAGCTTGGGGCTATCAAGGAAGACAACAGGTCACTGGCACAACGACACCCTGGGCAGCACTGATGACCAAGACCCACAGCCCATGCTCCAAGCTACTTCTGAGATGGGGGACACAGGCACCAGCAGCCACCTGCTTCACAATGCTAAGGGCCACTGAATTAGTTGAAAACTAAAGATGACAAACCATGTTTTGAAACTACCCTCGACCCCTACCCTTCCCTTCCCTCCTGGCAGCTCTGCTCTGCTAGAGAAGACTGTCACATAGCACCCAGAGCCCGGGCCCCACGCAGGGCCCAGGGTGACAGGGCAGATTGGCCAGGGCCCATCCAGAGCAGCTCTGCTGAACTTGAGGGTGGCAGAAGGATCAGGCTGGATGAGTGCTGCAGAGGGTCAGGCCTCCCAAGTCTCCCGCAAGAACTGACAGCGTATGCCGCCAGCATGATAGCAAGCATCACTGCTACAGAGCAGTGTCAGGAGGAGCCAGGGAACTCACAGGAGTGGAGAAGCACCATCGGCCCTGGAGTCTCCCCAGGACAGTTTCCAGTACAGACGAGGACACTGGGCAGGGAGGGGCTGAAGCAGGGCAATCTCAGGCAGGTGGCCGGGTGGGCACAGCACTGTTGCAAGCCATGCCCTGACTTTATCTACTCGGGACTCCCTACCCAGCGCCTGGCTCTCACTTGCTGTTCTGTTGGCCTCAACAGCTGTTGTCTTAGTTAATTTGCTCATTGCTGACACAAAATACCCAAAGTGCAAAGTTAGAGAGGAAAGATTTAATTGTAGGTGTTTCAATCCATAATTGGCTGGCCACAAGGCAGGGTGGCACATGGCAGAGGGGCATCTCAGAGAAGAAGGCAGCAAAGCATAGAAGCAGCAAACCAGCAAAGGAAGCAACAGCACCAAGCAACAACAGCAGCCCTCTTTCTGTTCCTTATGTTGTACTCAGGATACTCCCACTTAGGGCAGATAGCACTCACACCCAGGGTGAGACACGTTTAATCCTAGCATCACACCCTTAATCCCAGAACCACACAGCCTGCATCCAGCCACCTCCAAAAAGCTCTATCTGTGACCACATGAGGCTTAGGGGGACCTCCAGACACAGCCATACAGCTGTGTTCACAGCTCCCATCTTAGGTAGACATAGAGAGGGTTTTACACGAAGGACAGAGGCCTAGGAATAAGATCATCAAGGAAAGAGGAAGCACATAGCCAGAGTTATGAGAGACAGCCAGGTCTGCTGCCGGGAAAAGGCCCAGAAAAACTTGAACTCTAGAGACCACAACTCTGCCAAGAGAAAAGAAGGGCTGGTCTGTGTCCTTCCACAGAGGAGACAGCATAGAGCCCAATGCAGGAAGCAGGTGGAGGAGACAAGCTCACCTCCACTTTGTCCAGGGTTTCACCAACCAATCTTTACTTTTTCTTTTTGAGACAGGGTCTTACTACATAGTCCAAGCTGGTCTTGAACTCACTATGTAGTCTAGGCTGGCCTCCAACTCACAGTGATCCTCCTGCCTCAGCCTCCTGAGTGCTGGAATTACAGGCGTGTGCCACCACATCCACCCACTATCTCCCCATGCCAGGGATTGAACTCAGGACCGTGCGCTTGTGAGGCAGGTGCGGTACCACTGAGCTAAATCCCCAGCCCTCACCAACCGATCTTGAGGCAGCTTCTGCTGCTCCTGGACTAGGGACACAGACACTAGTTTGGTATTTTCTAGACACTCAGGGCTCTTGCAGCTCTCCTCCCCCAACTTGTGGAACAAGTGATCCTGGCCCTCCAGAGCCACATCACTAAGGTCAAGACAAAAGCCAGGGAGAGGCAGGTCGAGGAGGTCTACAGGTACAGAGTGAGCAGGCTGGCCCATTTTCTTCTTCTGAAAAACGAAGACTCTACAGCAATGTTGGCAGGTGGTGCTATGAACACCCTGGGCCGATGTTAACATTGTCTCACTCTGCTCTCCCTCCAGTGCACATGCATGTACTGCTCACATGCTTCGTGGAGGCCTCTGAAGCACCGCAGTGTCTGCGGGGAACAGAGTAGTCCAGAGCTCATGAGCATCATGCCCAGGGCACCATTGCACCAGTGTTACAGCCCATCCTGGAAATGTCCTGTTGTCACCCAAGGAACTAGACAGCTCTTCTCACAGGCAGTTGTCTCACTGGGGACCACACCCTGCCGCTGCCACCCTCCCTACTTCCTGGGGCATCTCACGGCCAGCAAGGAGCTGATCCAACCCCCTCCCCATGGAATGGCTTCCACACTACACCTGCCGCAGGGGGAGGCCACAGGTCCACATGGCAGCACCTGAATGCTTCAACGAGGGCCAAGAAGATGAAGCCCAGGAGCTTCTCGGGCTCCTGACAGGTGGCCATCATGGGCCAAGAATCCAGCACAGCCCAGAGGCTGCCAAGGGGCCTCAGTGCCTCTCCTGTGTGATACCGTGGGGCCTAGGTATCTGAACATGCTCAGCCTCCAAGGACGCAGCCTTCCTTCTATTCCGAGGACACTCTTCCCCCTCGAACTGTTGTGCCAGGAAGAGCCAAAGGCCCAGTCTCTCCTGAGGGTAGAAGGTGCTGAAGCCAGAGTAAGGAAAGGCAGACCAGAGGGTCCAGCCAGAGTGGGCACGGGGAGCATATTTTGTTTTTTATTGTTTGAGAGAGGGTCTCACTGTGTAGTTCAGGCTGATCTTGAACTCACAACAATCCTTTGCCTCAGCCTCCCAAGTGGTGGGATTACAGGTGTGTGCCATCACACCTGACTAGGGGCACATTCTGAGGCTCATGTGTGTTTGGCTCCTCAAATCCTCAAAACAAATTCGCATGATGACTGCCACATGACAGATGAGGAAACTGAGGCACAGAGTGCCTGAGAGGCAGCTGGCTTTGGAGGAGTCTCCAAGGGTGGCTGTGTCACTGCTGCCCCACAGGCTCTAGACCTTGGCATAAAATCCGCTTTGCTTAAGCCCTGTCCAGGGTGTCTTTTTCCTGTAAACACTGGGCCCTGGCAAAGACTTCCAGACCCTGGCCTTGAGCAGACTGTGCAGATGGAAGGGACATGTGGAAACCAGAAAAGAGGCACAAGGGGCAGAAAGACTGGGCTGGGGTGCTGAGCAGGCAGGAGCAGCAGCCCCCAGTGGTCTGCACACTCTTCAACTTTGACCCCAAAGAGCCCAA